ATTTTGAATTGGAAAAATCATGTACGTGTATTTGTATTTTTCCTCCTCCATATTTGAATCCAATCCATCCATTACAAATTTTTGTGTGTATTCTGTAAAATCTCCCTGTACGCGTAGCATAATTCATTTCGAAATCCCATTCTTCACGTAATGTCTATGATAACAAGATCAACGGAAGTATCATAAATCTGGGACCCATATCCCTACCCCCAAAGATTAACAGAGTAAAATTCCCAGGCCAGGTTAGATGGCAGGCTGACTGAGGATGAGGATCCATGCTTGGTCGAGCCATTTACAGGCCGTGGTATGGTGGTCCGGCCCAGGTTTACGCGTCTAGCCAAACCTTTAATCACCAATGGAACATGCAACGATAGAATCATAGGATCGTATTACACAAGTGCTACATTCCGAAACTGTCTTTCCTTTTTGATTGTAAATAGAAATACAACAATTGGTTCCAAGTATCAGGTACACCAGGAAGACACCAGTGACTGCAATCTTGAACTCCTGTCTTGCCCTTCTCAGTGTTTCGACCGTATATGGACGGGTGACCATCTACTCTATAATCCGATATGTGTGTTATGTTTAAGAATGTCACGGGAGTCTTCATCTGTCTTATTATCTCTTCCACGATCACATTTTTCTCCGGGTAACCATTGTCAAAAGTCTCGTTGAGGGGTCGAAAAGCTTCTTTGCAGTGGCCACCTGAGTTCCATAGACCTCCACTGTCCAGCAATATTTGTAAGATTGATCACTAAAGATGTTTGAATCTTATGCTCAATTTTACTTAAAAAGTAAAATATTTTGGCTCTCGTAGTAAGGATATAAAAAAAGTTCGTGTTTTCGACAAAATACTAAAATAGTCAAGACAAACCTGAAATGAGAAGGTGCTGAGCTTCTAAAGAACACTTTTGTTTTACGTGGGTTGATATATCTATCAACCCACGACGCCCAGGTCGTTAAAGCTCTCTGAAAAGCTGTTGAAGCATCAAGACGAGGATAAACTTGATCGTGTTCTTGGTAGTAATTAATCCTGTTTTGAATAATTCACAAACAAATATCAAGACGGTGCTANACAAACAAATATCAAGACGGTGCTACATTGTCATGAACTCTTTATGCTCTGCGGCAAGAACTATGTGATGCAGCAAAAGGCATAAAATTTTCTAGCTTAATGTATTAGGATCTTGCAGCTTAATGTATTTGAATCGTGCAAGGTATCCCGTCACCATACAGATAAGTCCAAGAAGCAAAAACTAGTAACATAAAACATGAATTTGAATTGTCAAGACTCCAAGCAGATGCATTTTACGGGTTAAAAACAATGTTAGGCACCCAAATAAAAGGAAATGTAGACAAGGTTAACATAAAAAAAAAATGCAGTAATGGATTTTCCGTATCATTTCATATTTTCTGACAGCCATGGATACAGATTGATTGTCTAAACTAAAACAAAATTGACAAGTTCAATGACTAATTTTAAAGAGAGAGAAGTTTGGTGACCAAAGTAAAACAACGATATAAGTTGGGTGACTAACCGTGTTTATATCCCGACATTTCATGGTTGGCATCGATGCTAAACAGCAGTAACAGAGAACATATGCTAACATTATATAAAATTGGGTTGTATAACCATCCACAAACGAAAAGTACAAATTGTAATTGAGATCCAAAACGTCACACATCAAAACAAATGCAAAGTGAAAGGGCTCCAAAACTGCCAATCCTTATGGTTGAATCTAGTTTAAGAATGAAGCTCACCCGGCTTTTGTTTTGTGATGAGTCCACCAATGTGCCGTGTTGAAAACAAGAATATCAGCTCTCCTCCATCTCGACGAACCTTTATCTATAGTATCAATCCGCAAAGTTTGCACACGTTTCTTACCTATTCTAGCCTTACTCTCATGAACTATAAAATGTGTTACATAATACTCAACTGTACACTGGTAGTCCTGCAAAAAGATCGAACATAGGTAATAAAAAACACTGCATATGATCGTCATCAACTTAAATACCTATAGAAAGAAGGAGTTTTCGAGAATCACCACAAACTTGAAACAATAATTTCCCCTCTCTTTGGTTATTTTCCTTCCACGGGTTTCGTAAACCTTCTTTGGATCTACAACCGCTCCCATCAACAAACATAGCATTGACTCCCATTGGTTTCTGTTAAGTGAATCACCAACGAAAACTAGCCTCTTTCCTCTAATTAATTCAAGCATTTTGGTTGCATTAAACCTATAACCACGAAAGCATAAGCATATAATAATTTTCTTACAAAAAGGACAACAATTCACTCACTACAAAACGAGGTAATATACGAGTTCAAGGTCGAGGGCTTACCTCGGAATATCACAATCTAGAGGCTGCCATCTCCATTTCATGTAATCTTTGTCCATTCTTCCATTAGCCAAACAATTAAAACCTTCATCTATAAATGGACAAGAAACGTTTGTGTACAAGGGATAACTTTCATCAAAAACCCATCTACCTTTCGTAATATCACAACCTCTCTCATTCTTCTCCTCAATCTTAATCTTACTCGAATCTTTCGAAATATGTTCTTGCCCGTTACTATGTACCCCATCATCTCTGTCAATTCCCTCTTTCAAATCTTGAGATGCTTTACTTTTAGAGGATATTACATGACCCAATTCTTGAAATTCATCAACTGATAATCTACTCTTATTTGAAATATCCACACTATCTGAAGTAAGATTCGCTCTAAATGAAGTAAAAGACAAATTACCAGACAAATAATCATTGCCCCTCCTTTTCTGAGCACCTTCAAAACTAGCAAAATCAGCAGCAAATTCATCTTTCCTCAGATGGGTTCCTGCAAAAATTGGTTCTGTTGAAGAATTGCTGTTCAATTCAGCCAAAACCTGTACATTTTCTGAGATAATTTCTTGCTGAAATGGAGGGGTAGATTTAATGACCCAAACGGATAAAACTATGAGAAATATTACAAAAAATGATACTGTGAAAGAAAACACTAAGAATCTAACGGGCTTGATTGAAAAACTTTTCTGCTTCTCCATTTGAGATTGTTGAGAAGAAGGGGAAGTCAAGAATCAAGATTTGGTAATGCAATGAATTAAATACAGCTAAGCATTGAATAAAAGAATACAGTTCCCGAGTGAAGACAAAGAAGACGAATTAGTTAATGAGTAGTAGGAATTATGGACCCCTTTTCTTCGGCCGTTTTGATGAGGCTCCCTCTCAATTAAAAGAACATACATTGTAGGCATCACTCATAGACATCGCTAAGTGGGAGGATTCTTTATTTATTTATTTTTTTCTATAATTTTTTGAAAAAGAAGGTGGGAAGATAATTCAATAATAACAGACAGGGCCTCGTTCGTTAAGCTGTAATCACGTCGGGTGTTTGAAATGACAAAAATACCCCACACTACCCCCTCTTTTTTCTTTTTTTTGTTAGACATAGGAACCCGCAATCACTACTTGCCAGCGAAGCCCCGACCACCTCGAAGGGACGGAGGCCCGATTACTATAAGTACGCACTAGGTAAACTCAATTACATGTGCAGTAACCCACAAACCACACATGAGAGGTAAATCGCACCGACAAGTCCGGTATGACGGGCTCGACCGAGGAAGTGCTAGTAGGGGATTCGAACTCGTGACCTTTGGTCTCTGCGTTCACCAGCTCCACCAACTCGAACACCCCCAAAGGGGTCCGCGCTACCCCTTTTTTTGCAATGCTTGTGACAGGGTTAGAAAATAAAAATTTGATTTTAGTTCAAACTTGTGGCTACTTTCAAATAAAATCATCTCCATACGTAATTTGAGATCAATAATATAATATTTTCAACAAGAAGTTGGCTTTGATAGCTTAAAAATATACAAGTCGATCCTCATCTTGATATCAACGTATAAATCTTTAGATTTTAGATCTCAAGATTGAATAAATTATTATTTAGATAATATCTTCAATTTAAACCTAATCGTACAATACTTTCAAATAATTACATAAAATGCCTTTCGTTAGATACACTCACATTTTTAATAATCATTTTCATAATTCCTTCACGCAATGAAACTTGAAAGGAATCCATGACCAATCTTAAGCTTCTCTTTGTGACGTCTATTCTCAATCAACACACTTAGATAGTGCTTTCTTGAAAAGTTGTGTTATATGCAAAGTATATAATTAGGGTAAATATATTTCACACCACAATTTTTGTTATCTATAGAGACGATTTTCTTCTAAAATATTTGTTATAAGAGACAAAAATACATATTCATCTCTCGTATTTCTAAATGATCCAAATAAATAACTAATACAAAAGTTAAAACTTTCCAATGTAACGTTAGTAGAATATTTGGATGAAAATTGTGACTAGAGACAAAATATGTTAATTAATTGAAAGTTAAGAATAACAATGCGACGAAAAAAAATCGAGGACATAAAAGCAAAAGTTAGTAAATAATGAAAACATTCCCTGTAATTAAAATGGTGCAAAATTGTTGTGTGAATATAATTATTATGGTATGATAACATACGAAAGATGCTAAGCACACGTTGGGCATAACTGCCCCCGCCGGGGCTGAGTTGTCATGCCAATATTTGCGGTAACAAATGTGAAAATGACGAAATGTAAATGGAACTTAAAGTTGGGAAATCCAATTTTAAAGGTTAGGACGGAATTTCAAAAAATGCTAAACGTTAGAGACTGATTGCACAAATTTTTCAAAGAAAAATAAGATCATGGTTGGTTGGGAGGATATAAATACTTGATACATATTCCAAATAATTAGTTACATTTCTATTTTTTATTAATAAGTTATTTTTAAAAAAAATTGGAGAACTTGGGGTCGTCTATCACACTTACCATAGACTTTCCGAAGGCAATTCTACTACGTGTACATTGATTTTGTACTGACAGGCTGATTTGAATATGTGAAATTGAATTGTTAACATAGTTGTACAAAATCGATATAAAAGTAAGTTAATTCTTTGAAGAATGTATCGGGACTTATTATTTACAATCATGCTGCACAAACAGGTTCAGCGACATATTAAAAATAAGGAGGACAAGTGACACAACATCATTGGACAGTTTGGAAAGAAAAAACTTAGCCACATAAGTGCTGCCAAATGTCCATGCCCCTGTTTGAGTAGCATTATTCTCTTATTTCCCATGTCACATTAGTTTTTTTTTTCTCTCTCTTTTGGGTAATTAATCATTTTATCTTGTTTAAGTCCTATTTTGTGAAAAATCATTTTTTTTGAAACTCATTTTTAATTACATGAATAGTCGCTCAATAAAATAATTTATTATGTATCAAAAATTAGTCCATACGTTTTAACCATGCACTCTAAAAAAAAAATCATTATTAGAAAATATACTTTTATGAAAAAAATGGGGCTCAAACAAACTTTTTATCGAGCCACCTCTGTAATAAATTTACTTAATGGATTGCATATATTTATACAACAAATTTTCATCTGCTCTAATAGGATATTGAACTTTTTTTTTAATTTTTTTATTTATCATTTTGAAGGAATTAAAGAGAAGAAAACAAAACCTATTTTTTATCAAACTTATTTCATTAACTTTTCAACGTGTCAGATTTTTGCTTTTTCCTACTTTTCAACGACACATTTAATCAATTTTAAATCTGTCAAAATGTTTATCAAAGACTTTATCATGCTAACCTTTATTTAAGAATATAAAACCCCCTGGAAAGAGAGATTTTTATACATTATACTCGAGTCGTGTAAACGTGGCAGATTATGATTTGCGGAAAGGTGATAAGAAATTTGTGTCTACAACTCGTCACATAACCCAATTATATATCTTCTCATCTGCTCAAAACGAAAACATTTTCTCTCATTTTAAAAACAATTTATAAGCAATTTTCCAATGGCAGCCATAACAGGTTTAACCCTCACAACCCCAAAAACCTTAGCCAAGGCATCAGATACATCAAAAATCAAGGCCATCAACAACTTCTCATTCCCATGGAAGAAGAGGTGCAACACCCAATTCCTCCGCCTCGTGGCTGCGGCGGCACCGGAGGATCTTTCAGAGAAGGTGGTGGAGAGCATTAAGAGTGCGGAGGAGGTCTGCTCCGAGAACCCTGTTAGCGGAGAGTGCGTGGCCGCTTGGGACGAGGTTGAGGAGCTAAGTGCCGCAGCGAGCCATGCAAAGGATAAAAAGAAAGATTCTGATCCTTTGGAGAATTATTGCAAGGAAAATCCAGAGACTGATGAGTGCCGTACTTATGATAATTGATTATTTTTAATTAAATTATGTTTTAATCCTGTGTTAAGGTTGAATTAATTAGTTGAAGTGCTTATGATCAA